GGCCCTGGTGTGTCCCTCCGGCCCTAAGTCGGGTCCGGTAGGACCCGTGTGACTCGAAGATGTAACACGAATGCAACGGATCAGGTATATTTCATGGCCTTTAGTGCATGGGGCCTGAAATAGTCAGCAATGCCACAGTTCTGGAATGCATAGGGCCTGATATAGTCAGATCTGTCACAGCCCTTGCGATAAGATCTAAGTGAGGGAGCTCAGGTACAACAGAACCAGAAAAAGGAAAGGGAAACGAGCAACAGCCTCTGGCACTATTGGTTCCGTTAGGAATCGAACTTATGATCTCGCTATCAACAGTTACATTACAAAGTTACATGTATGTATACATTCAGTCACAAGGCAGGTACACAGGGCAGTGACAAACTCTTTGCTGAGGGGGTAACTGGTACAAATTTTACTGTTTCGTGCTGCAGGCCAATTTTACCATGAGTGATTTCTTACCCGCAATCGACTTGTTAAGGAGTGCAAGGAGACCTTTCCGTCCTCTCTGCCATGACAAGAATGATGGAAATGCAGACACCGCAATCGCACCAAGCAAAATCGCCAATAGCAGTGCCTTCCCAAGCACTTTGGTAAGCTTATTCACCCAATTTGCCTCCTTTACTGCTGGGACGGGATACGATGCTGCCGCTCCCTTCCTGCTCTCATTCATGGGATCTCCATGTACCGAGTGGACATGTAATTCCTTTTCACCCGTCCTCTCCATCTGCCTACCCTCCCCTGCAGCCCAATGTTCAGGTTCCCTGTCTTTGACTTCCCTTGAGCCTTTCTCATCACTTGTGGCCAGCCCTGTTCTGTCTCCCTGCCCTGTATAACCATCTGGCATGGGCTTGCCATCAGGCCGGCCAACCGGCTCAATTGGATTTCCTTCTCCACCGACCTCTGTTGCCTTGGAGCATTGAACTGAAATTTGGCGAGCCAATGCATTATCAACATGTAGGAAGAATGACATCAGCTTGCGGTGGGGGAAAACGGCCCTGTTTATGCCCTCTTGTCTAGCACCATCCCAAAAAAACATACAATGCAAGCACCACGAGGGTTACACACACTCAGAAACTGTGGCCACAATTCTTGTCAGAAACGCATTTGGATGACAACCGGAAATCTGGATATATGTTGGTTGCTCAGATCTAGATGCCGAGTCAAAGGATAGGAGATGCAGAAGCAATAACAAATTAAGACGGGGGTTCGGCCCATTCAGCAATTGCTACTAGGTTAAATAAAAAAAAAAGAAAGAGGCGTCACATGCTGAGCACCAGTAATATGTTCCTTTGCTCTTATTTTAAACACACACATACCCCGCCCCCTTCTATTCTGGGGGGCGTATCACTACTTGTCCTTTCATACTGGAGGCCAGCAGTACGCTGCCTCCGTTTCTGCCCGGCAAGTCACAAGTACGTCACTAAACCCCCAATATGTCTCCCAGCTGAATTTTATTGCCTGAGCTGTATACACACCACACCTACAGGGGCTCCGCCTACCCAAACTGTTAGTCCGGCGGCGACCAAAAAAAAAAAAAAAAAACGACCCGTGCCGCGCCGGTTCAGCTTTTCTTTTGCGCTCGTCACAGTTCACTCCACAAAAAGAGGCTCCAGCATAGTTTGCAGCCCATCAGGGGTGCATTTTATACCCCTGACTCAATTTTGTCGTCGTTCGTTACACCGGTCGTCCATTCAGGTCCAAACGGTAGTTGGAAGGGTGGTGAATTTGCTGGGGGGCAATTCATGGGGAGCGGGCAGTTGTGGCTTGCGGAGGACCGGTAGCTTCCCMTAGGAGGCCGAGGAGGCCACAGTCCTCGAGTTGAACATTTTGAAATTGAAACGACATGAGTCCACTTTTCTCAAAAAGAAGGGCACTTCGAATAGACTGCATAAGCGTTGTCTTCGAATACAACAAGGACCTTTCCCATTCGAATTCCGAAAAGAAAAGACTCTTGTATTTGACTAGAATACCTTTTCTTTTTTTTCGAGGTTGGCGCCTGCCCTTGTGCTCCCTGCCACTGACATGCTGCATGCTGCAGGGCTCTCTCTCTCTCTCTCTCTCTCTCTCTCTCTCTCTCTCTCTCTCTCTCCCTCTCCCCACACACACACGCACACACACACACACCCACACACACACACACACACACGCACACACACACACACAAACACACACACACACAGAGGCTGGAGTAGTCTTCTGTCTTAGGTAAGTTGCCTTCTGCCCTCCATCCCCTTATGGTTTGAAATGTATATGTATACATATGTATATGCGCAAGTGTGCCACTTTGGCGGCAGACGGGTGTGTGGGCACTTGGCGCTGAACCACACAAACGTTGCCAACCTTTCATTTTCTATTATATTGCCTATGTATACTTTTTCGTTATGGATGGGTTGTGATGATTTGTGAAGGGAATGAGAGAGAGAATCTGGGGTCTTTTAAAACAACACGCACACAGGCTTCCATATGAACCACCTGCAGAGCGATGGGCTGATAGTTTATCACCACCAGGGCGAGCTGTTGCAGTCCAAATCCTGCATCAGCTGAACACCCTTGCGTTGGACCTATCCTCCCTGTCGTCGTCTTCCCATAGAGAAGGAATAAATACTGAGGATACCCAAGAAAGATGCTCCATGCTGCTGTGTGATGACCCGCGGGAGATTCAACTAGCATGTGGTTCACATGCCTTGTGCCGTGAGGATTATGAATGGATAGTGCATGCGAGTTTTTGCTTTCATATGTACGACGACAGTCGGTACTGTACTCTGTATGGCACCCAGACATGTCATGTCCAATTTGTAGAGAGGGGCTGGAACGGCAATGCCTCTATAATTGTGGTCGACATGCCTCCGTGTTCCTAGCATGTAGGAGTCATGTAGTCTGTGACATCTGTCTACGCGCCGTTAGATGCAGCAACTGCGACTGCGAAAATTGGATGCCGTGCTTCCACAGTCCACACCCGAACCGGTCCTGTCTGGTCTGTAGGGGTGGCCACTTATCATAGGCAATAGCTGCTCCTCAACTCAAAATCTTATGCAACCCAAACACTAACTGACCTCATGTGCCATTCTAGAGTTCTAGAGTAGTCTGTTCTAGCGGGGTGTACTTGATTAATTTTCTGCGAAGTTCGTCATATGCCTCTCCCCTGCCCTTTGCATGTCATACTTTTTTTTTTTTTTTTTTTTTGAACTGGACATGCTCCAATCTATTTGTGGGGAGCAACACGTGCTGGGAACCGGGCCCAGCGTCCCATTCAAAACCATATTGAGAAGATTATGTAAGAAACTTTGAGTTACCAGGGCCATTACCCAGCTTCGGCTAAAGATGATAGCTATGCAATCTACACAGA